GGGCATGTTAGAACGAGCCGTTTTAGGTAGGCGTGGTTGACTCTTAACTTTTATAAAGAATATCTCTTTGGATTTGAGACTTTAGTCTTTGCAACTTTACAGATCTTCTTTATGCACCAAGAGCTTGTAACACTCCAAAGAGAAAGGAAAAGTTGAAATTGCATTATATGACCCCTTTAAAATTTTAAACCATAACAAAAAAGATAAACAATCAGCATATTCATTTGCTCTCTTCTGTCTGGAAGTTAAGTTTCAGTAATAAACCGGTTTAAAAGCTTGAATCTAGTAATAGACTGATAAATTGGCACTGAGATAATCGGAAATGGATCAGAACTCCACACGCTTTGATAACTCAAGTAAATAAAGTCTAATATCAGCAATTCTTTAAATTGCATTTATCATCATTAGATTAAAATCAGATTATCAGCCATTGGCCACCTAGACAGTACATAGCAGTAAACAGTGACAGTAAAGACATCAATGTTTCAAAAGACTTCCATTTCAAATACATTTTCAACTTTCTATTCAAAGAACTGATTTAAATTTTTTTTTTTTAAGTTTCCACAAAAACATTCAGCACAACCGTTTAAGATTGCTAAGAAATGCTTGAGTACCAAATCAGCACAATTTCTGAAAGATCATGTGACTCTGCAAAGCTGAATTTTCAGCAGCCATCAGTTTTCAATCGCAGAAATAAACTACATTTTTAAATATTATAGTTGTAAAAATTTCGCAATATTTCTGTTTTTACTGCATTTTTGACCAAATAAATGAAGCAGTGGTGAGAAGACTTAAAAAAAAATTTTAATTACTAATCCATCTTTTGAACAGTAGTGTTTATCACTCTTAATGTAGTTCTTTTAAAACACTGGTGCTGTACTTACTTGGTCTCTGCTGCTGTTGAAGCTGTTGCTGCATGACTGCTAACTGCATGTGTGTTCCTGCAGCTCTAGAGGTCATAAGTGGATGTCCTGCAGGACCAAGGGGATACAGAGGCTGCCCTAAGAGGGCTGGGGGCAAACCCTGAAGCTGAGACAGGTCTACAGCCTGAGGGAACATGCCTATTCATGCAGAGGAAAAACAAAAGAACTTCACTAACACCGTTTTCAGTTTCCAACAGGAATATGGCTGGAAAGGGTAAAGAGAAAACAAAAAGTGTTAAACCAACCCGTTTGTAATAATGTGGGTCCGAGCTGTTGAGGCTGGATGCCCTGAGCCAGCATCCTCTGCATCACACCCGGGTGAAGCTGGGGTGGAGGTCTGACCAAGGGGACGTGGGGAAGCAGAGGGACTGGATACATCTGGGGTCTGGGGAAGGGAGAAGATGGTCCTGGTGACAGCATAGTGGGAGTGTGGCCTGTTGTTGAAGGAGGCCTGGGTCGGTCTGGGTCTTTACTATGACGACTCCGAGTAGGAACAGGGGTGGAGCATGCTTTTACCCCACCAGTCTGAGGACCACTGGTGTCCACATCTTCCAGAAAGAAACTGGGTGATGGAGGCCCATCTATAAGTGAAAGGAAATTGCTTTAGGAAATAAGAAAAAGAGAAAGAGAGCTACTCCATTTATTCACCCTGCTCTAATCTCTTGGTGTATGTGCATTGTTTCATACCCTCCTGTGAGTTATGGGAGTTCACAGTCTCCTCCTTGCTTCCTGGTCTACTCCCAAGATCATCTCGACTTTTCTCTTTTGACTCGTACATTTTTTTGATCACAGAAGTGGGAGTGAAGGATGGAGACAACTGCAGCAGGGGAGAAAATATGTTGCTTAAACCAAACAATGAGTCATTTGTTTGCATTTATGTTAGTTTTTTTGGTCTATAGAGAGACATTTAAGTTACTTAACAATAAAATGGCTTTATAAGTTGATATAATACATCAGAGGCCGTATTCACAAAACATTTTATCTTGGCACGAAGAGTACTAACAGTAAATGTTTTTAGCTAAGAGTTTCCTCTTAAAACCTACTTACAAAGCTGCTGAGACCAAGTTTTACTAAGGAATTGGGAAAAATCTTACGTTAAGACAAAGGTCAGGGCTGACCTGGTTGCTATGGATGTCATCAAGCTTACGAACTATGCCAACAGTAATTGGCTGAGAGGGGATGGGTCTCTGTTAGTGATTTAATCATAGAAATATTGTAGAATGAGGTAAATGTTTGTCTATCATTCATCAACCTCAAATAAGGCTTGTCATTTGAAAATTAAAACATGCAAGTTGTAGCAACTTTGTACGGCCGCTTGCTCTAAAGTTAACTTGGATAAATGTGTGCTATTAAGCACATATCCAAGTGTTTTTTCGGAGTGTGGAAGCTATTAGCGCACAGAGGCACCAGCGCAATCACTGGCATTTTTTCCTGATAACAGTGGAAACAACAAAATTCACCATCATGTTTTCTCATGCAGAAAAGAATAATAATTCGAAACTGTAAAGGGTCTACTTTTATTTGTGTACTCACAATATTAACAAAATGTTGTGCTTTGTACAATAAAGAAAAACAGGACGCGCTTACTGCTGTCTCGCAGTCTCTGTGAACTGGAGCGCATCGCAAAAATTAAGGCTACTTGCCTCACACACAACAAATATATCTACAGAAAGCCTGTAATGTCTACTTATAAATTAATTCAAATCAAAAACAAAAACTTGCATTATGTAATCCATACGAAAGGTGCATTTCTCTCTAAAGGTGTGTCACTGTACTGAAGAGATGGCGAGTCAGCATCATCAACTTCATCTTTGCAGCTGACACGGACTCAGAAAACAGTAGTTTATTAATGAATTAAAATATCTTCTTACTATTTTTTTCCTGAAACCTTCATAGTCAATCTCTTTGCCAGTACTTTGTGGCAAGCTTTATGCGTGCTTGAGCGAAACAGGCTATAAATGCTCATTATGATTTAGTGTTGGTTGAAGCCATCTACACTGTATGACGAATAAATCTCTTATACTTACAGCGCACATACATCTGCACTTTGTGGTTTATGATGAAAGAATTCGCGAGAGCAGAATTCAGTCAGCGAGCACACGCACTGAACAACAAAACTCCGGTGTTTCAGCTATGACTCATCTGAACGTCAAAAGCATCAGCCACAGGCGATATCTCCTACTATCATCGATACACAATACTGTCGTCACAACCCATTATTATGGTTTACTTCTTGCCCAACTTATACATGAAAAGAAGGGACAATTCTACTAAAGGGAACTTATTGTGAAATGCTTCTAAAACGTTTATGTTCCGAGGCGGATTGCTGGCAACAGCCATTTTAGGATGGTTTGTGATTTGGTCTTAGTGACTTAGGAATCCTCTTGACTATCCATAACTTTTTACAGATTTAGAAGCCGATTTTAGCGTTAAACGCTTCGTGAAATACTCAGAGCAAATATGTAGGAGTCCAAAAATTAGGACTGACACGCCCATTATTATTATTATTTTTTTTTTTAAGAGTTTCTCCTAAATCGGCAAGTTAGGAGCTACTTTTAGCCTTAAGATGTTTTGTGAATACGGCCCCAGATGTATGATCAAATGTCTCAATGAAAATGTTATATTAAACGTCACAGATTTGACTTACTACACTTGTTATTGTATTGGCAGGTGATGCCCGGCCAGGCAGGTGAGGCCCAGGTGAATGGTTCATCCTGGTTTGTCTACAAAACAGGATGATACAGATACAAATAAAACACTGTACACACCATTATCAGCCCCTTCCATTCATTAGTCTACTCATATGGATAGAGCATCTGTTCATATTATGAATAAATGCATAAAAGCAGGATTCATATCTTGTTAAATATCACCTTTTCAATTTACAGCTCTTAAAAAGTACAATAATCATGACAGTCTGACAAAAGATGAGTACTAAGAAAGCTCAATGATTCATGAGGCTGAAACCATTAGCAAGACATGCTTTGTGCCTGCCTGTGACCTGCTACGGTCTCTGATAATCCAAATTACCTGTTGCGAAACACCTTATCATGAGCCTGTTTGTTGTAGGCTTGTTGGTACTGTTGGCGATTAAGAGCTGCCAGATCCTGCTGAAACAAAGCTTCCAGATTGGTCTGATCCACTCCCATTGGCAAAGCTCTCATCTAAAAATAAGGAATTCATCTCTGATTAACAAATAATGCAAAACCAAGAACAGTACATTTTATTGTAATTTATGTTAACAGCCTTTACACAAAGAGAAAATGTAGATTCATAGAAACACTGACAAATATTAATTATTAAATGTATTAAAACATGTCATGAACAGTAGTAGTGCTTATATTTAAATACTGGAATTTTAATATTTAGATATGAATGTTTGTAAATATATAACCTTTTTTAAAACCAAACAGAATTGATTGGATGTAAACTTTGAAATTACACATGCATCCTTTTATTTATTTAAAAAAAAAAAACTTTTTGATATCTGCCCATAGCATTTGAGTTTTACCTGTGGTGTATTCCTGGCCCTGTTAATGTCTGGAATTTGATCCAACACAGTTTGTGGGCCAATAGGGAACCCTGAGATTCAACAAAAGATGGGTGAGGAACATAGCATAAAAAATAAATGACATTTGTGTTTCACATTCAACATGTCTCTATTGGTTTTAAATCAAATTAACTAATTTTACCTGTTGCAGGTGGCATGCCCGGGAAAAAGTCCTGTATAGGGGCTCTCTGTGGGAAGAGTGGGGGTGAAGCGCGTTGGTGTATGAGGCCAGGCACAGGGGCAGGAACAGGGCCATGAGGGGCAACCAACAATTCCTAAAGCACAAAAGCACAAGACTGATTCATTGTCAACACCCGTAACTTCACTGCAACAGTGTTATAATACAATAAGAACAAGATGCGAGCCTCAGCTACACAGCTAGTGAAGCTGTTATTGCTTTGTTTTGCCTCAACACTGCAGGACAGATGTCAATTACTAAAGTAAATTTACTAGTGCCTCAGTTATTACAAAAAACAATTTTACACACTGATTTGTTTGCATGAACTTCAGGTTAGGGATTACTGACAACAGTTTGCACAATTTGTTACAGTGGTACACATCAGTCACATCACGTAACTAGGTGTACTGATGTCCTGACAAGTATAATTTAGTTGATAGAACTTGTATTGAACAAATAGATTGTCTTTGACAGATCACCTGAAATATGTTTTTCTGCTGGGAGGTGGGTACCTGCGTCTCCGATAAGGACACAAGAGCAGGATCCACTGACTGCTGCTGTAACTTAACACAAAAGCAGGGAAAAAGTGATCATGTTAAGAGTTGGAACATTAACCATACAAAAACAGATTGGATACAATGCACGCCATTTGGTCCATCAAGTTTTGTTAGCTAAAGTCAAAAACACTGATGGCGCCTACATCATACCAGTGACAGCTTGAGCAAAAAATGTTAAACAACCAAGCATGTTACAAAAGATTCACTGTAGTCAGAACGGGATAATGCCAAGCAAAGCATGCAAAAGTTCACTGACAAGTCAGCCACAACCACTAAATACAAATTTATGCCCATCACTAGTCAAAATAAACACTCATTTACTAGCCCAGAACAACTAGCAAGTAAACAGCACTGGCTTGTGTTGCATGCAAAGGCAGGTAATATTTAAATGCAACAAGCTGGACGACCAATGCATCCGTCTCACACATGCAGCTTTACCTGAGGCTGGACAGCATGCAGCAAGCTCTTACAAAACCATGCAAGCATAACTGATGGCTGCATACTTACACTGCTCCCGCTGGCTTTGGGGTGGGTGGGCAGGGTTCCACTTGCCTTCATGGTGCTCACTAACTTATTAAATGCAGACATGTCAGGGTCTCGTGGTCGTGATGCAACCCCGGTACATTCCGTGAGAGCCTTTTCAAGGTGCTCCACCATGAAGGGAGTTCCCCCACCTCCGCTGGGCTGCTTTTGAGGTAATGATGGAGCTGGTTCAGGCTGCACCTTCAGGGCCTTCAGACTCCCTTCCACTTCCTCCAAAGACAATACTACCCCCGAGTTTGCTATAAGGCGGCAGACAGAAAAAGTGTTTTGATTATCTTATTACAAGTAGCAATTTGATATATTCTGTATTGATGAGTAGCATCTGTGGCCTGCTGTCTAGAGATTAAGTTGTATACATTTAAAACAACAACAACAAAAAAAACTCATTACTCAATATTCCAATAAAAATACTAAATATACAGGATGCTACTCACTGCTCTCTTTTAGGTGAGCCTTGTTGACATTCAAGCTAGACAGTAGAGGTTTCAGGTCAATGTTGGCTTTATGCAGCAGCTCCAGTATGTCAACATTCTCTTTGCGTTCCACTGAAGAGATGGGGGTGAAGTACAAGGATGTACCCTGATTCAGAGTTCCAGTATGAGGATCGAGACCTGACACACAGACAAACAAAATTACACCAAAATGGAACAGTAGAGAGATGCACTGATGCATCAAGCCACCTTTTTTTACATTTGCTTTCCATATTACATTTACATTCACTGTTCATCAGAGGTAGCATTTACACTACCATTCAAATGGTCAGTAGTGTTTTTTTTTTTTTTTTTTACTGTGACCATAAGAGACTTTTGAATGGTAGTGTATATTAGCAGCATAATACATGCTAGTGCTGGGCGGTATACCGGTTCATACCGAATACCGGTGCAACCCTCTACATTGCGAGTAAATATGCGACTAAATCTTACTCTGGGCGACTAAATGATGTCTAATATTAGCCAATGGCTAATAAATTCTCAGATTTTACTCGCCAGTGTGTGAGTTGGAGGCTGAGTATATGATTAGCACAGACATATTTTCACTCACAGAACACTGACTGAGCACTTCAGAGTTTCACTCTGTCAAGCGATCCGTGATATTTTTCAGTTCATCTCAATGGATGCGCAGTGCACCTGTGTTTATGTACAGGTGCATCTCAATAAATTAGAATGTCGTGGAAAAGTTCATTTCAGTAATTCAACTCAAATTGTGAAACTCGTGTATTAAACTACTTCAGTCTGTGTGCATTGAATTTATTTAATACATGAGTTTCACAATTTGAGTTGAATTACTGAAATAAATGAACTTTTCCACG